ACACACACACACACACACACACACACACACACAACAACAACAACACACACACACACACACACACTATATATATATATATATATATATATATATATACATATATATATATATATATATATATATAGATATAGACACATATACATATACATATACATATATGTATATATATATATATTTATATATATATCGTGGTGAGGAGGCGCTCGGTTATTGGTAACTAGATCCCACAGCTTGGAAACGTGCGGTGGTGAGTAACAGAACCTGAGTCGGGCGTTGAGAGTATATAGTATGAACGGTCACCGTGGGCAGACACGGGGGCGTGATTGTCATTGATACTGACTTCGACATGTTATTCTCACCCAACTTCACGTAGAGTCTCATGAAAGAATATCCAAGTAGATGTAGTACCAACGATAAAGACGTACACTCACAATATACGGCAACTAGGAGCAAAGACGGCGGTATGATAGTATCTGCCTAGTTAAAGCGAAGTCACAAAAGCCACTCACACGCATCTGCTGATCTCTTCGTTCATGAGGATACTCGCACCAGACAGACCACATTAGGGCTTACGGTCGGAATTCATACACAGTTATTCGCTATGCACATATAGTCAGCAGGTAAAATTATTCGTAATGTTTGTGTACATGGGCGGCGCTTATGCAAAGCAGGGAATAAACCAGAACTCGGCAAACAACCAAACCTGCATACGAATATCACATACACATGAAAATCACATATGCAGATATTAGTTGTACTATATAGTACTGTGGTGTACGCAGTATAGTCTTGATTTCATCCATCTGTGGATTACACCGGACTTTAGCGAGCATAGATAGGCAAACAGACCTACCTACATCAGGGACATGTATGAATAAGATACACAAACGAAATCACCCCCACACCATATAATCTTGCGAATACGGAGCTTAATTAAACACAGCTGAGCGTAGGTAACCGTGCGCACCTGCATCGCGTGGTGACGAAAACCGATCACCGTCCCCATCGTCATCTGAGAACACATCTGTAGGTCTGTTGTAAATATGCCACAGAATTTCATTTGCTTTAGACTCAATATGTTTAGAATGCAGGGCTACACAATTCCATATATCGCGATACACACATATGTCCGCCACTAAGACCGTGTGCCTGCGCATACTAAACAGTATGTAACTTTTTAGAAAAACATACTTCTACAAACACATCAAACCGAGAAACTCCGGTGGAAAATATTAATTTTAAGTACAAATTTGACAAGCAGATGTACAGACATGTCGATTGGATGCGTGTTTTCACTTTACTTACCCTTGTAATGATACATGAATCTGACAAGTAGATGCAGTGAGAGTATGTATTCACTATATCTACGAGTTTTTAGACGCATCTTACAATTAAATTTACATACTAGTACATTGGCGATGTATTTTTTAGTATACCTGCCCTTGTGCTATTACACGGATTTGAGTGGACGTAAATGCATGTACAGTCAAAGTCGGACTTCACTCTACCTACACGAATCCGACAAATAAATGTACATGCATGTGCAATAAAAAATTGACCATATTCTACCTAACTTCGAGTTGTTACAATTGCACGAATTATACCAGTAGCCCATGTATGTACTTTGAACGCATGTTCGTATTCTACGCACCCTCGTGCCGCGCCGCGGTGACCACTACCATACGATCGGTTACTAGTTCTTCTAGAGCGCACATCGTCGTCATTTTCGTCGTAGCGGCCTCCGCGACCGCTGTTGTAATCATTCCGACTGTTGATGTGAGGATGTTTTATGTAAATATATGTACGTTACATACCTAGGACTATATAAGCAATGCAGAATAGCGGAGTGGTTGTTAGCTATTTGTTTTCACGCTTCGTCTGTGCAATACATAGTAGCTTGATACACAAAAGTGAACATCAGATACCTCAACGCTTTTTGCAGCGTATTGGCTATACACATGCGAAGGTGAATCATTTGTACTCTCTTATCAATCACAGTATCGCAATACAATCGATGATGAACAAATATCGAAACCTCGACTTGCGTTTTTGGCTTTTCCGTAGCAACACGGCGTCCAGCATACACACAAGTATTAGATTGTTGCTCCTGTCGCATTGCTCTAGATGGTATTATGGATGGATTATGGAATTATAGGAGCAGTAATTTGCGTATACAATCACTGGTACTTTCGTCTTGACAGACTATGCCATACTGCTGTGAGCGTATACGCCGAAGGCTAAGTCTGTAGCAGCAGTCTCCTGCATGTTTTAACCACTAGCTTCGATCGTAACACACGTCTGCCGATTGAATAGCTATGTACGTCCTAGTAAACAGCATATTCTATTCATAGACGGGATAAATTCAACTATAGCCATATATATATATATACATACACATATACATGTATATATACATACACATATATATAT